ACGGCATATTTACATCATGCTGTCAGTTCCTGGCAGCTTATTCGCCTGTCAGAGAACAGAACTAGTCCATTAAGGATGTGAATGCTACTTATGCCCACGAGTGGTGAAACATCATCTCAAGGGTGGAAAGGCCTCCCCAGGCTAGCAGGTTTGGTTTGTTTTTCTAAGGTGCATTATGGGGATTTTTTTTTTTCATGTCACAGAGACAGGAATGGGCCATGCTGCCTCCCACTTTTTCCTTCTCCTCTAGCGTGTATAGGAAAAAGAGAGGCAAAGTCTCTACGTGAGATCAGCATGTGCTGGTTTTTCCCCTCATGTCATGCTTAAATTCTCTGCCCCACTATAAAAATAAAAATCTATAAATAAAAAAGAACAAATGCTGAGGGGGACAAACTGGACCCACAGTTATGTGCATGTTGTCACTTGTGGAAGTGTGCCTAGCCCCATTCCTCCCAGGCTTCGTACATACCCTGTTTCTTTCATTGTCAGGCTCTCACAGGATAGGAAACATGTCAGATAGTCCTGTCTGAAGCTTTTTGAACTCTGCCATAACATAATATTAATTGAGCTAAGTCTAAAATGATGTTGGGCTCATCTGCTGTTGAATTAGCTCATGCTCCATTTATACGTATCTTTCTCCTTGTTGTTTTGGGGGTGTGGAGAGGAGGGCAGTTTCTGTGGGTTTTGCTACCTTGCTTTAATGTTGCAGTAATACTTTTCTCCTGAAATTAAGCAGTATTTAGGTCTGATTTCTCATATGTGACATGCTGTCTCCGTTAGCTTCAAGCATAAGCACCCTTACGATTTCCCTTTCTTGGAAACTGCCTTGTCTCAGCATGTGGGTAGGAGGCCATGTAAATAAATACCAACCACTTCTTGGCTTTCAGTGAGCATTTCCTTTTTCCTGGTGGCTACAGAAGAAACACTCTCACAGTTTGGCATCAAACATTTATAAAAGTTTCCTGCTTGTGGATTTTTTGTTTAGACAATCAGATTCTTAGTATAGTTTTTTCATCAGTTTCTGTTTTTATTCATCTGTGGTTGCTTGGTTTGTCAGTAAATAGTGTCTGTCAGAACAAATACTTCATTAGAAACTTCATAAATTTCTGGTAATTGAATAGTAAATCTTTATAAGCATATTCTGTAATAGTGAAAGATAACTTTTAAAGAATACAAATTAAGCTTATCTGTTTTTTTTCTTAGTTAAGATGGACTAAATAACATTCATATTTCCTCCTAAAAGATTTTTTTTTTAATATATATGAGCTGACTTAAATGTTTGAAATGGAAAACAAAGTATCTTACATTACCAGGCACTCCAGCTTTCAACTGAAAAGAAGATTGCCTTTAATACAAAGTTTAATATGTATTCTCCTGACTTCATATCCTAGGATATTTTTCAAAGTGTATGTCACTGTCATGGCACCAAAACTAACAGTGCTACCTTTTAAATGCTACCAGAACTACTTAGAGCATAAGTTTATAATATCAAAATAGACTGTATCAATAAAAATCAGTATTAGAGGGCAGTATTTCTCATTTTTATACATAAATATCTTATCTGTAAGTTCTTTATTTTTGTTTGCCATGATTTATTTATTTTTTATTGGTAAATTGAGGATTTCCTTTGTTCAGTTTTATTTATCCCAGTGGTAATACTTACTGAGTGCATGATACTGTATTCCTCCTTCAGGGAGAACCCCAGCAGTTCAGAGAGTATATATTCTGTGGAAGCAGAATATAGATCTGAATGGTGATAAATAGCTACAGACTGGCACAGAACTAGACTATATGAGAATTGTTAGATGAGCGCATGATAAATATAAATATGTATGATCTTTTGTGGGCAATAATTTCTGGGATTGCTAAACTAAGGCAGTTTGAAAATCCATCAGGCACTTTTTCTATAATACTTTCAGTCTGGATTTGACAACTTTTGTATTCAACAAAACAAGACAGTAAAAACCATGCTTTTCCAGAAAAGCCTTTGAAATATGCTTTTTCCTCTACTCGGGGCTGTTATGAAGCTGTCTAGGAAACTGAGCCATTGTTGGACACGTCACTGTATTTTAATAGTTTCACTCTTAGGTACATTCTCATCCAGTTTAGTTTTGCAGTCTGCTGAAGCTTAGCCAAGTTGAGTTACCATCTGCCTTCACAGTACACACATCTCAGTCTACCTAGGACTTCTTCCAGTTTTGTGGAGTGGAAGTAACTTCTGTCTATTTCTTCAAGGAAGTATGTATGGAGAAAAATTAGTCCTAGTTTGGTTTGTCCCTTTTGTCCTGTTTTATGGCATGCAATAAACTATTATCACATGCCTACTTCTTCCTTGAGCCAAAGACCATAACTGATGTCCCAGTTCACAATTCTCCAGCAATTGCAAAGGGTGCTCGATTTCACAGCTAGTTCTGATGGCTTGACAGAGAATAGTCAGTCTTAGAATCATAGAATAGTTAGGGTTGGAAAGGACCTTAAGATCATCTAGTTCCAACCGCCCTGCCATGGGCAAGGACACCTCACTAAACCATATCACCCAAGGCTCGCTCTGTCCAGCCTGGCCTTGAACACCGCCACGCATGGAGAATTCACAACTTCCTTTGCCAACTCATGCCAGTCCCTCACCACCCTTACAGTAAAGAACTTCCTCCTTATATCCAATCTAAACTTCCCCTGTTTGAGTTTCAACCTGTTACCCCTTGTCCTATCACTACAGTCCCTAATGAAGAGTCCCTCCCCAGCATCTCTATAGGCCCCCTTCAGATACTGGAAGGCTGCTATGAGATCTCCACGCAGCCTTCTCTTCTCCAGGCTGAACAGCCCCAACTTTCTCAGCCTATCTTCATATGAGAGGTGCTCCAGTCCCCTGATCATCCTCGTGGCCCTTCTCTGGACTTGTTCCAACAGTTCCATGTCCTTTTTATGCTGAGGACACCAGAACTGCACACAATACTCCAGGTGAGGTCTCACAAGAGCAGAGTAAAGGGGCAGGATCACCTCCTTCGACCTGCTGGTCACGCACCTTTTGATGCAGCCCAGGATACAGTTGGCTTTCTGGGCTGCGAGCACACACTGCAGCCAGCTCATGTTCATTTTCTCATTGACCAACACCCCCAAGTCCTTCTCCGCAGGGCTGCTCTGAATCTCTTCTCTGCCCAAGCTGTAGCTGTGCCTGGGATTGCTCCGACCCAGGTGTAGGGCCTTGCACTTGTCATGGTTAAACTTCATGAGGTTGGCATCAGCCCACCTCACAAGCATGTCAAGGTCCCTCTGGATGGCATTCCTTCCCTCCAGCATATCAACCGAACCACACAGCTTGGTGTCATCGGCAAACTTGCTGAGGGCGCACTCAATCCCACTGTCCATGTCAGTGACAAAGATGTTGAACAAGACCGGTCCCAATACCAATCCCTGAGGGACACCACTCGTTACTGGTCTCCAGCCGGACATTGAGCCATTGACCAAAACTCTTTCCATGCTGCCATCCAGCCAGTTCTTTATCCACTGAGTTGTCCACCTTTCAAATTGATGTCTCTCCAATTTAGAGACAAGGATGTCATGCAGGACAGTGTCAAACACTTTGCACAGGTCCAGTGAAGCCATGCTGGCTGTCACCAAGCACCTTGTTGTTTTTCATGTGCTTTAGCATGCCTTCCAGGAGAATCTGCTCCAAGATTTTGCCAGGCACAGAGGTGAGACTGACTGGTCTGTAATTCCCCGGATCATCCATTTTCCCCTTCTTAAAAATGGGGGTTATATTTCCCTTTTTCCAGTCATCGGGAACTTCACCTGACTGCCATGATTTTTCAAATATGATGGACAGTATTGCTCCATGTTGCCAGATAAGGGACTGTGAAGGAATCCTGAGCTTTCCAGCTTTGGTGATTTATTGAACTTCCATAGAGCACTGGGTAGCAAAATTCCCCATTTGGTATCTGCTGCACAAATTCCAGCGTGTAAATATTTCCCCACTCCATTGCTGCCATGGTAATGGCAGCAGCCTTAACACTACCTTCATAGTATTAAACTCTGTACTCTGTTTGTACCTTTGCCAGCAATTTTATCATGACACACAAAAAAAGATTGGGGGTATGAGGATGCATGTGTTGCCCCTCTTGTCTTTGGATCACATCTACTTAGCATCAGATGTATTTGCAAAGCAAAATGAAGAGGTTTGCCCTGGTTTATCCATCAGTACAAGGAATTCAAGGAAGTTTAGCACGATGGAAATGGCTAATAATCTTAGGGCTCTTTTGTTCTGACATCAGAAAGTAGCCTGAGAGTGTAACTAATCCTTAATTTGGAGTGATAGGAAGCAAGAAACCTAGAAAAGGTGAAATTATAACGATTGTGCTGTAAATTAGAGTTGTGATGAAAATGCAAAAGGAGTCGGCTACAGCAAAAGTGAATAGATCATTTGTACTGTTTGAAGAAATAAGCTGATTAGATTAGAGTCTGGTTTGGTTTGTATACAGTATATATAAAACCTCGATGATAGTATGATTTTGATTGATTTGTATGATTTTTGTATTTTCCATTGGAGTAATAAAAATTTATGGTGGGGTAATCAAATGCTACCCATAAATAATAATAGTAATTGTAGATAGAGATTATTTTTTATACCCACAGACATGGAAGAGTTTTGTATTGATTAGACAGTTTAATTTGAGTTAAGTTTGACTCTTTTCTAATTATAATTCAGGGGAATGGAGAATAATAAATGTAGATGCTTGTGTATTTGAGAGAGGTTTTTTTTTTGTTTGTTTGTTTGTTTTGTTGGTTTTTTTTTTTTTTAACTGGGAAATGTTTTAAATGGGTCAGTGAAAAACAGGACAGGAATTCAGGCTTCATTTCTGTTGCAGGTATGTCTATGAAAGGTAAACAGACATTTCAATTTTGAAAATACCCTTATGATAATAAGTGTACTAAAATCATTACCAACTAAACAGAGTTTGCTGAGACTTCTCATATAGTGTTGTTTTAATCTGTTTCTTTTCTAGGAAAAAGAGAAGAAGTATATGCTTCCTTTGGACAACTTGAAAGTGCGAGATGTTGAAAAGAGCTTCATGTCTAGCAAACATATCTTTGCATTGTTTAACACAGAGCAGAGGTAAGAAAATGTGCTATTCTGCAGATACTGCCATAAAAATGTATCTATCTGATCATTTTAATAACTGGGAGTGCAGTTGTGGTTATTTCCACTATGCTGAGTGAATAAAGATCTTGATACTCTTGATTTATCTGCTGTTTTGCAGTTGCATAAACATAGAATGAAAGGTTAGTGTCCTCCTAACCATGCAGGGTGAAACTCTCCATGATTAGTCATCTAGTTCTGTATGGCTGAATAACCATCTCCTGATCCTATTTTTGTTTTGTTTGGCAATTACCTAGGCTTACCACAACATTCATGACTTCTGTACCTTGTGACCAAATTCAACTGGTGTAAATCACAAAAGTGTCATTGCTTCTCACTTTCTCCAGTGAAAAATCTTGCCTCTCTGTAATATTTGGAATCATTCTATTGTTTGTTTGCATTTAAATACTGCTGAATGGAGAGCAAATTATATTTCTCCGCTTCCCTAACTAATAGGCTCTTTGCTTTATGCTGTTTGCTTCACACTTTTCAAGCTCCATCCTCTGATTTAGGTGATGTAGGTATTCTATGGCAGCCTACTTCTGATGCACAGCCTATTCAGACTACTGTGCACAAATAAGGAAACATGACAACACTTAGAGACATACAAGTGACCTATCAATTTTTATTGGTTTTTTGTTTTGTTTTTTTTTTGCTGGGGAGGTGCATTTGCAGCTGATTCAGTGGAATTGCATTTCGGCAGATAAGGTGCAATTTCTCTAAGTTCCTTTTCAGAAAAAACAAGTAAAGCAAATTGCAGTGGTAGCATAGATAGATGCCCTTGTTTTATTCTTCTCTTCTGCTTAACTCCCATTCCCCCCTTGCATCACCAAAACTTGGCAATAGATGATGTTCAAGATGATGAAGGCTGGATGTGGCTCTCTGCAGAGCCAGCTGTTGCTCCTGAACTGGCCAGAAATGTCCCTCCCTCCCACAAAACAAAAGCAAAGCACAGGATTTCTGGGCTGTCAAGTTTCTCTGGTCCCAGAAACATGAGGATGCAATGTGAGTCTTGCTCTGAACTACATGAAGGCTTTGCCTACATCTGCTGACATCTCAGCTAGCCTACATGTGGACACTGTCTGCCAGGAGATGCCCTTTGAAAGTATGTCACACACATACTTGCTGGGAATAAGATTTCAAACACTTGACCACTTGCATTTTGGGAGCACAGAAAAAAGCTTTGAAAAACTTCTAATGTTTTTAAAAACATAAATGATCTTCACGTACTGGCAACTAATATGATTTTGACTATTCTGCTATAGGTATGTGTGAAACATCCCAACATTGCAGTTACATCAGTCAAGAAAGAAAGCTTTGTTCTGGTGACTTGATATGAGCTGTACATGTTAAGTTCCTTCCATGAGATAACTGTTAATTTCACCTTATTGTTCCTCCTGTGTTTTGGCTAATGATTTTGAATGTTTTCATAATCTTAATCACTGAACTGCTGTGAAAATCCAAGAGAAGCATGCATTTCTGTTGGGAAGTTTGAGAATTATTTGGGTGTAATATAGCTGCATGTTCGTATTTTCACTGGGTCTTCATACACACTGGACAGCAAGGATTTCAAGATCAGATGTCTAAAATGCTTGCCATGTCTGTAATACCCCTGCCCATTTGGGCTGTGAGTGTACCCTCCAGCATCTGCAAGCTGCTCTAAAAACGTCCTTATATCTATATAGGCATGTTGAGACATGACAGCACAGTAGTAAGACAGCAAAATGCCTTTGCCTTGGGAGAGGCTGTTTATGGACTCTTCCAGCTTAAAAGGAGGCAGAAGTTTTTCTTGAAGAGATACTTATTGAATTCTAACCACAACAGTCCTTCCTCTGTTACTATAAAACAGCTATTTTTTTTTTCGTTTAAAAACCTGCCTGCTGGTTTTTAAAAGTTGGTTTTTTTTGTCAAAACAAATTTAGTATCACTTTCCACAGTTTCCTAAATTCATAGGTTGTGTCAGCAGAATCAGGGATACTGGGGCTTGAGTAAAGTGACCTGGCCCTCAACTGGGGACTGTGTTCCTTGTCCCAGATTCTTAGGGAAACTGAAACAGGGAATTGGTAAAGATCTGTTGAAATAAGAAGTCTTGTCATTGTTTTACTTTATTTTACTTATGATTCTGAAGGGGGGGGGGGGGGTTTGGATATGGCTTCTTTTTCAAAATTCGTGTAAAACTTAACTTAGTTTCTGGTTTGGGTTTGGTTGGTTTTTTTTGAGGGGGGATGAAGGGAAGTGGTTGTTTTGTGTGTGTGTTTTTGTTTATCATTATTATTATTAAAAACCTTAGTAATTGAGAAAGAAATCAGCTTTCTCTTTCTGAGTTTGCCCACTCAGGGTTCTGGCTATGGAACCATTTTGCTATTTAAGAGGTAGATCATTAAAGAACAAAGGCAAAGTTATATGTTCCAGCTTCCATGATAGCATGGAGATTATTCTGTATCTCTCCTCCTGCTTCCCTCCCCACCAGTCTGCAGCATATCTTAATGTTCAATTAGAGTATTTTAGTTTTCAAGCAAAATCCCTTTAGGAGAAGAATTTTAATAGGCTTGTCTCTTTTTCGTTCCTAGCCTCTCACTGCATAGGTATTTGCTACAGCCATATGTTTCTGATACTGTACATTTCAATAGTTTCCTGGATTATACACTGCATTTTTTCCATTTATGAAAACCTTTCCAGTTCTGAAATATAGTTACCAGGAAACTCCTCATTTCAGTGTATAGAAGGAAAAACCATCTTGAGTTAGCTGAGGTTTGGGGATAGATGCAGAAGGAAACGAATGGTATCTGTCATTTTGATTTACTGCAGAAGTCAACAGTTCTTTGACAGGAATCAAATGTGACTTGGTAATGTATAGTAAATGGAGACTGTGACGATTGATTTCACAGTGAAGATAAATTCTCATGAAATGAACATAATTGTATGTTTATGAAAAGGCTACATTGTGACATAATTAAATTCTTTTCCTGTTACTTTGTGATTAATTTTTCTTTTTAAAGGAGAAAAATCTAGAAAACTCTTGGTGTGAAATAGATATAGTATTGCTTAAAGAATTGGGGGTGAGTTTTGTTTTTCAACAAACTAAGTAATTTATTTAAAGCATTTGAATGGGCCCGTCTACTTCATTTATAGGCAACTTGGAACACCTTTGGAGGAGGACTCCTCTAGTTTACTTCGGTTACTTAATTTAGCTTTACTTACTCTACCTTAATTTGTTTTAATATCTAGCACTAGATCTTTTTGTTTTAATATCTAGTGTTAGATATTAAACCAAAGTATATTAGAGTGAGTGCCCTTTGACTCCTGGATCACTTCTGGCTGTGTCCATCTACATGAGTCTGCCTTTACACAAGTGAAGTTGAGCTATAGGGTCAAGCAGTATGTGTCTAAACCTAAAGGTGTGAAGAATGTGAGTGCTGTTTTCTGTTAACCATCCTTTTCTCCTTCACAATAAACTGCTGGCAAGTCTTTTACACTGGGAAAGATATCAAATTTTTGAAAATAATTATACTTTAGGAAAACCCCTGATGTTTGTAGTACTGCTGTAGAACATAATGTGAAGTTGTGGAGATGTAGCCACTGACTGACTTTCTTAGGCAGTTAAGAATGGAGGCGAGAGTATTTTGTCAGCGCCTGTGCTTACATGAAGTAGATTAACTGTGATGTCCGCATTGACGAGTGTGTAAGACTCTTGTGCAGAGCTCAAGAAAAAAAACAAGTTCTGCTCATCTAAGAAAGCTTACTTTCCCTCTGGGATTTCATTCCACACACTTTGCCTCTTTCTCATGTATTCCCTTTAAAAATAATTCACTGATTGGTGCTTTTTCTTTTAGCTTAGTGCTTTAGTCTGGAACAAGAACTATAGTCTTAAATGTGCCTCTCTTTAGGATCTATGCAACAGTCCCATCTCTCCCTCTCTCTCAAATTAGGAAGGGTAAGCAGTCATTCTTTTTCATGGTCTTGCCCAGTTGACTGCAGCATCCACATGGCACTACTTCACTAGATTCTGTGTTATTCTAAAGTAACCCTTTGCCTTTGCAGTAGAGTAGTTGCACTTTTTTCTGATTTATGGGTCAATAAATTGTATTACTGTATTGCAACTCCATCTAGATGCTGCTTCTCTTTTAAGTGAGGAAGGAATGATGAGTAAGCCACTTCTTTTGCTACAAGTGGAGAAGTAGCTTCCTTTCCACCTCTTCTCCAATTCTTTGTTTTTTTGTGTGCAGGGTTTTTTTTTGTTTGTTTTTTTTTTTTTTCTCCCTATGGAAGAAGAGATTCTACTAAGTAAATATTTTTGGGGTTATGTTGAAGTGTTTGTTGAGCTCTGTTCCTCTTCAGACTCATTCCTTTCCTTGGAGCCGAAGAAGCAGAACCAGTGTGTGAAATTCTCCCTTTCTTGCAGAGGAAGATCCCACCAAGTCTTCCTGTCTTTTCCTTTTCTGCCCAACTAGGGTCCAGATGAAACTGAATAATAGTGTTGCTTTTCTCACCTCTGTGAGAAAAGGGGATGTTTGCAAATTCAGAGCACAAAATTGTTCCTGTTTGCTTTCACAAGAATAGGTTTCTAAGAGCTGAATGCTCCTCAATAACCAAGAGCCAGTGTGGCAGAACCTACCGTCCCTGCATGGGAGCTGACTGTTTGGGACAGTGGGACAGGCTCACTGTAGAAACAGATCCCTAATCTGAGAAACAGATGAATGTCAAGAAGATAGCAATCAAATGGAAGTTTTGAGGGCGCACAATAGGACTGGAAATAGAACTGCCAGGTGATAAATTTTAGCTGCTGACTCATGAGTACACTCTGACTGTCAGGAATCACATTGCACAAGAACTGTGCTGTCTGGTAGGACCCAGGAAAGTACGCTATATCTGCTATATGAAAGGTATTACAGTACTGATTTTGGGTTCATGGTGTTGGCTGAGTGATGTTCTAGAAGTCTTCTCTAGGACTCCAAATGCACTAGAGCTCTAAGTAC